GGATAGTAGCCAATGTGGCTTTTAAGCAGCTGAAAAGAAATGTGTGCAACTGAACTGTATGTGTTTCATTTAATTTCTGTTAGTGACTATTATATCAGCACAGTGAATAGATAAAAATACCAGAGTGAAAAGATAGAGTTCAAGCATGAAAAAGTTCATGGTACAAAAAGTAAGCAATGAACTAAAATATTTTTATGTTAGAAAAAAAATGTTCTAACTATGGTTTTAAAATATACAAATATCAAAAAATAATTCTTGTTTTACATATATATACATATAATAAAAACATAATAAGACTTAGTCTAAAATCTCAGGTTATATTCACAATTTCACATTCTACAATAACCAAAAGATACTGTTTCATTCTTAAAGTTGCTATTCAGAGGACATGATTCATTTTTTTAAGCCAAAGGGTAAAACTAACAGGATGTATAGTTTTGAAATCACTTGAACGAAAACAAAAAATCCCAACATTTAAAGATCTAAAAATATGCCTAAGAGACCATATAGCAAAATGAAAAACTGTAAGAGAAAAAATCATTATACAAAACTATATTCACAATACATCCCAACTTTTAAAGTATGTGCTTATAAGAATCGAAAGAAATACATAGAAACTTAATCATCAACTATGGGCAACTGTATATCATTATGTTTTCTAAATTCGCTACAATAAGCATCATTATCAGGAAAATTAACATAAACAAGAGATAGTGTGGTCAGAACTCCCCTTTCAGAACTTAATTGGCCAATGACCTTACCTATCTGGAAAATACCCAGTATCAAAAAGTAAACAGAAAAAAAAAATGAGCAGACAAAATACGTGCCAAGTTCACACCTAAAGGTTTAGGTATTGTGTTCCTCAAGAGAGCCCAGTATTCCTCCTTTTACACATATCTTAATTCCAAACTTGATTATTTGATGTGTCAGCAGCACTGGGGTTACAGCTACACTGAGCAGTGCAGGGTGATAGGCCTGGCCTAGCAGGAGAAAAAAAGTGATAGAAATGAAAGTATAAAGCAGACAAAGACAGTCATAAAGCATTCCAAGGCAAATATGGTTGGTAAATATCCCTAAGCAATTCAATATATCTCCATAAAGGATGCCAACAGATAACGACTTCAACAACTCTGGGTAAAGTGGTCCAAGGAATTCCCTTTAAACATAGACTGGTTGCCTCAGGAAGTAAGAAAAGTTCCTAATGCATTTTAGAAAAAAAAATGATCACAAATATTTATAATAAAAAGAGTGATTCAAGGGAATAGCCTCAGCTATCCAGAGCAATTCTTTAAAGTTCCACGAGTTGTGGGTTTTAGTATATTGAAAAGGATTTTATGGATGGCTGCATTGATCAACACAAACTTGCAGAACAATCTGGAAGAAAATGATTAATCGCTTCTTTCTATGAAAGTTTAAAAATAAGTAACCATAAGTGTATCAGAGTTAGAGTTACAGCACAACTGTTATTAAATGCATCGGGGTTGTGGATGTTGTTTTGGCTTTAATCCATAGCCCAAGCAGGTAGTTGGAGTCTACCATTAGAGTAAAAATCAGCTGGTTCCATTCCACCCAACAGGATTCATTGTTAACCAAAGAGTACTTATTCTATCTCCTCATCCTTGCCTCTCATGCTTCTGACTTCAAAAGTCAGGCTAGAAAGACAAGGAAGAAATTAATTGCATTTATATCTGTGGAACAAAGATTGTGCAAACTGCCAGCTATTGTTTTTGTTTTCAGCATGGTTATCATAAAATGAAAACAAAAAGATAACTTCTACTGAAGCCTGATTACTTGAAAACAGACCTGAGTATTTCCTCCTCTTTCAGTAAGGCAGTAGATGCCTTTCATTTGACTTATCTGTAATGTACTTACTTGCTGATAGAGAATAGTTATTGTATCTATAAGAGAGCTGAAAGAGTCTATCTGAGGAAGCTGTTTCCTGAGTTACACTAGAACCTCTCACTGCTTCAACATCTGCCAAAGAGCAAATAAAGCATTTGGAAAAACTTCCTACCTTCCATTACACATCTAAAGCTAAAAAGAAAAGCATAATTACAACCCTGATCCATGGCCTTTTAGCACTCTGACCTCTACCTGTAAAACATGGTGACTGTCACAGCTCCAACACAGAGTATGAAATAAAGGTAATAACCTTATCTACTTTCTTATTCCCCTCTTGAGGAAATTAATGTTAACTGTCTGAGGTATATATACTCTTTCTTACTTCTTCCTAGGCTTACACAAACCTATATAACATAAGGGGGTGGAAGTTGTTTTGAAGGAAACAATATTTCATTATGCACTTTGCTCTTTAGTCTTAAAAATGTTATGACACTTTTCAAGCCATTCTATACAGATCCACCTTATCCTTTTTGATGGCTGTAAAATATTCCCTAAGGTGAAATATTTCATTCATACCATCACCCCACCTTTCCCAGATCCTGGACATTTAGAATGGATCACTGTTCATATACTTCATGTCCTTTAATTTCAGCAACAGATTCCTAGAAGTGGAGTTTCTGGGTTACATGAAACATTTTCAAATGTTTAAAATTTTATCCTTAAAATTAATTTTAGACTTTCAGTATTTCTGTTCCCTTCCTTCTTATGCAAAATTTTGGCATAAACCTTTCACAATCCTTGCATATTTTATTTTAAAAAGCACACACATTATGTCAAAAAACGCCCCTGTCACTTATGCTCATGTAGTTATAAATAAATAAATGCTTAAGTTATGGCTCTGATGGCCAGCGTTAAATCACTGTGCAAATGCTTTTGCCTTGGTTTATGAAAGCAGTAATTCACTATGGAAACTCCACCCCCACGGCCTATCGCAGCACTAAAGTGGCAGCTCTCTCACTGTGACTCCCTCCACTGAGTGACAATAGAGAGAGCAGGACCTTCATATTTTCTAATTGTTAACCTGGAAAAAACAAGTGTGGGGGGAGACAAGGAAACAGATAATAAATTGATAGTCATTATGGGTTTCTAATTTCCACAATTATCTGTAGTACAATAAATAATTCGGCAGGTCTGTACCAGAGACTGTCCCATAAAAAACAAAACCTATAACCAAATGTTGCTATGATTACACAAACCTTTCAAGAACAAATCCTTCAAACATTTTTCAGTAGAATTAATGATTAATTCCACTGTACTTCAGATTCAGACACTAACTTCAAACTTTAAAAAAAAAGGATTTAAATAAATATATTAACCAACAAAGCTCCTTAAAATTTAATGAGTCCTCCCTCTATTCTAAACACCCGAGCACCAACAGAGATTGTTAAAACACAGCAAGTTTGATACAGAAGTATGTGACATGCAATTAATCTCCATTCATACCCTGCTCTACTTGTCAACATACAAAGGTTGTGGTTTAGAAGGAGATCTGAAGACTTCAATTAAAAACAGTCAGCTAAGAAGAAAATAATCTAAGCTAAAGGAAGGTGGCAGGTGCAGAAATGAGTTGTTTACCAAAGTGTCAGTTTTGAACAGTAAAGAGCTGCACATCACAAACGTAGAATGGATTTCACAGCAAGCCTCTGAAATAAAAAAGGGATTTCCTACCAATGCTACTCACAAAACGGAAGTATAGTTTAACAAGCTTGTAAATAAGGTTTCCTCTCATCAAATGACAGATACCAAGGAAAAGAATCAGTTTGTATCTTTACATGCAAAAGCAGAACTTAACTTTAGGCCAGTTTTTTCTCTCCTGGAAACCAGACACACCCTTTTCTGACTTTTTAACCAGCAACAGAAACGACAAATTGCTTCACTGGGATGCTCTTCAACTCTGCAAATACTTTTCTACTCTGCAAGTTTAGATTTACCGAGGCCATCAATAAAAGAGATTTTGGAAACTTCACCTCAAAAGAAATACAGGGTTGACAGCTCAAACACAGAAGCAATCCAGAATGGAAACAGTGCTACAAACAGAGCCCAAGAGGCCCGCGCAATTTTTTAATTAGGAGGCATTTATATCAAGACAACAAGGTAATGCAGAAATAAAACCAATTAAATTGAGAGAAACTGAAAAAAGTCCTGCTTGCCAAAAGTATGACCTGCCCAAAGCAGGCCATCTGTTAAATATGTGTCAAAAACGTCACCTGGATGCCAAAAGGCTTAATTCTGAGCAGTTACCTCCTGAGACCCTTAGGCAATCACAGGTTCCAGCCCCTGTCCTTCCAGGAAGGTCAGTTACAGGAAAGCAAGTGACTTTCACCAGAAAAAGTGAAAGGAGGAGATGATAGGGCCCTTAGCAAGAAGTCTCTTGCCAGCACTGGAAGCATGTGCTGAGTGTTACTAAGTGTTAGTAAGTGGCCTTAACTCCTGGAAGGATGGCTTAGGCACTGAACACGAGCAAGGGCGCATCTGTAGAAAAGGGAGACATGTAACAGAGCAGGGCCCTCGAGGGTGGATGACCAGACACCAGGAGGCCTGCAGGCGGGTAAGGGAGTCTGGGCCTTGGTTGCTGACAAACACTAGAGTTCAGTGGCCACATGCCTGGCCAACAGGAGCCCAGGGGCCCCCCAGAGCCTTGGTGAGCAGCAGGAGGCTCTAAGCAGGAAGGTGAGGTTCTTCTGTGCAAGGTGACCCAGTCAAGGCTGGAGAGGGAGAAGCGAAAAAACAGACCCTGGAGGAAATCGGCGGCGAAAGGGACTGGGAGACCACCTGTGTGGCACCGGGGAAGGTGAGAGGCCCAGTGACCGCCTGGAGTTGTTTAGAAATGGGGCAGTTAAGTGGAGGGCTGCAGATGCCCAGGGGAAGAGAAAACGTGGAGCTACTGAGCATGAAACAGTCCCAGAGGAGGGAGGATGAACACCTGGTTCTGCAGGATGGAGGGTTCCAGAAACCTCGATGTCCGGGAGGTTGTGAGGGCTGGGGCTGAACAGAAAGCCGGCTGGGCACCCTTGCGAGTGCCCTCACCGCGCTCAGCTCAGCCCAGCCTCGGAGGGACACCGGAGGGGTGGGGGAGGGAGCCTGGGGCTGGGCGTTACCTTCCAGGAGCCAACGTATCTCCTCGGGGAGGGTGACGGCCTGCATTTGCGGGGCGGTGGGGAGGCCGAGCGTGAGGCGGGAGAAGGCCGTGAAGGCCCGAGGCAGCGGCTGGCCGGGAGGCACCTGTACCTCAGTCGCGCCGCCGCCGCGGGGCCGC